AGAATGACATATCTTCCCCTGTATTATTGAGACAAATGTTTTTAGTCTGTTTCACAACCAACATATGGGTTTTATTGTTGTCACTTGTACATTGAGTTTTAAACCATTTGCAAAATATCAGAATAAACTTTTTATATACCAGTTAGACTTTTAATTCTGAAGCAACAACAACAGGAGTGCGGGTCTTACTACAAAGTAAAGATAGTAAGAAGGAAAAACATAAAATTCTTATGTGGTACTGATACTAGTAGTATTATGTACAAATCACACAAGTTTATCATTCTAAATACTGAATCATATTATTATGAACTAAATCTAAAATTATGCAAAATTACTGAACTTAAAACTACTAATTTAAATTCAAAAGAATATAAATAATCATAACCTATTTCAGTTCAAAGTGCTAAGCCTAATTCACATAAAGACTATACACTCTATGCACTTGATAGATCTTAACCCTAACAATCGTGAATCAACTTCTTTCCTAAAAAATATATCTATTTTGAGTTAATTTTTCAATATAATGATTAATATAAATAGATATACAACACAGCATGACTTAAGCTGCTATACCTTGTTAGATTCACTAAATATAATAATATTTCAGAAAACAGAAAATATAGGAGATTCTTATTTTAGATTCTAGCTTGTAAACATCAGTAACTTGCATTTCTATTTCACAGGAAACTACAGACTTTGTATTTGGACATCACATACATCTAATTTGAACCAAAGCTGCATTTGACATACCACAAGACACAAAAAGAATCGATATTTAGGAATTTTGTTTTAATATTTACGTTTAAATTAAGAAATTAACTAACGTATAATACTAAAATTTGAATTATGACCTACAATTTGATACCAAACTTATTGATATAAATTCATAAAATAGTAGTTAAATAAAATTTTGAATATAAGTATACAAAAGTGATGACATACCCTCTGACTCCTACCCATATAAAAACCCGTAGCAATAGGGTTAATGCCCAAAGTAGTTAAAGTATAATTTTCAGTTCACAGTGACCCCAAAATACAGGTAATAGCCATATAACTATTTTTTTTTAATTTTCTTTTTTCTTACAAAACTTGTAATTTCAATGGAGAAAAAAAAAGAATATGAGAATGATGTAGAGGCCTAATCTATTGTTTCATTTGTTTCTTCTTCTACAGTAGACTCAAGTTTCAAGAAATCATGATTCTTTAGTGCTGTTTGGCAGATCAAACCAGAGATACAGTTAGTCTCCATATAATAGTCAAATGCAAACAATTTGTAGGATTCTATGTAAATGACTTCACATCAATCCTATAAATCACTGTATAACTCATCAATCAGTTTACAGTGAGAATGATCTCCCATGTTTTACGCTTGCTTTATTACTGATATATGTTTTAGTTTCTTTCAAAATGGTTAATGTATGCATATACCTGAATAATATATGTACCGGCAAACAGTAGGTGTATTTGATACACACAATTTTAATATCTAATGCATTTTTATTTTTATAAAAAAATGTGTATTTCTATAGATATGTATCTTATCTGTATAACTAGTATTAGCAGTAAAACATATCAATTGAGCAAACAAGTCTCTGAACACTCCTGGAATGCATCAATGAATAACTCATGTGTACATCATGTTATGAGAGAGCAGTATATCAATTCAAAAGAAATATTTGATTACTCTCTATAGTACTTGCATTGAGAGTGAACCACAAATAAAAGATGATCTTGCCATCAATACTAGGAAGCCTGAAATCAAACAGTTGGAATCAGTAGGAATGGAGTAGACAGCTGGGATCAGAAGAAAAATAGTGCCTGGCTTGAACCAGCAAGAATATAGTGATGAGCTGGAACCAGCAGAAATGGAGTAACAAGCTTGAAATAGTAAAAAAATGGAGTAACCAACTGGAACTGGAAGAGATGTAGTGACCAGCTTGAACTAGAAGAAATGTAGTGACATGCCGGAAGCTATTACAAGCTAACACCAGCAGAAAATTCTAAATTCCCAATATCAGCTGGTCCCATTTTAACCAGCCCGAACTGGAACTTCTATTTTGGAATTAATTAAATAAGAATTTGTCTCACCAGATCATTTTGTTATTGCCTACCATATTTACTTAACCTAACTAACTTGATGTTTTGTCATAGAAGAAAATTTCCATAGCTTTCAAAAAGACATGATTTAAACCAAATGCATTTCAGGAATGAAAAAATCATCTAAACAATCTATATGAAAATTCTGAAATCTGTGTTTATGCCTAAGAGTTCTAAACTTCCTATTAGATTCTTTTATTCACCTGTGCAGAAGCTCAGGATAACAAGGAGCTATAAAACACACAAAATTACTCTTTACTCTACACCAATATACATAGTTCATAATCTGCTTTATCAAATCATATTTAAACTTTTACTCTATTTTCAAAGCTGATCTTCATTACTATGTGTTAATAAAACATTAACATAGATACTTTATTTACAGGCAAGACTCCTCAGGGTTGTGCAGGAATTAAAGATTGAACACTTGTTTTCAATTGTCTATGTATATTACACTAAAATCTTACAAAATCACACGTATCAATTCTAAAATATTATTAAGTTAAAAAGTGTTGAAATATGGTTTAAATTATTATTTTAACTTATATTTAGAAATTTTATATGCAGATGTGCACTCAATACCTGAAAAGATGCTCTTCAGTCCAAAGAGGGTTAACTAGTTTCATATGTATTAGATATAAACTGAGATATTATTTTGAATTTTTAATACTTGACAACACCTACTTGAGCAACATTAACATACTTAAAAAAACACTAAAATCTTAGAAGAGTATTCTAAGTATATATTTACAATCACAAAAATGATAAAATATCTTTATTAAAATAATTACTTTACAATTAAAAACTAATTTAAGCTGCTTTTATTTATAAATAAAATAATTTAAGCTGCTTCTAGGTGTTTTATAGAAAAAATGCAAGTGGATATTACATAAGTGATCAATAAAACTTTAAGCTATACAATTTGCATAGAAAACACCCCAGGTAAAGTATTACATATTTTCTAGAATTGCACCTTCATTGGAGACTGGAAGATCTTGTTGAGGTCCTGGTCGCACAGCAAGGTTCCGTCGTAGCCAGGTCGTCTGCTCTAAGCTTGCTGCTGCTATTGTGCTGCAGGCTTCTACTAGTTTTTGTGCTATGTCCTGGGTTTAAGACATCATAGTTTAAGTATATAACTTCATAGTTTAACATTTACTTGTACATCACCTAGTTTTAAAACTGAGATATTGGTCTCAGGCAGATATAACTATGACTCTTGATTACAAATATAAACATGTACTAGTACAAAACACTTCGAACACTGTGGTACATGTGAACCCATGTTCAATGAACATTTCACTAAAGAATAAATCAAAGTGCACTTGTTGCTCAAATTACACAAGAAATTGTTACATAGTAAAAAATTAAAGCAACCAAAGTAGATCCAAGACAAATTATTACAAAAACTTGGAATGCATATGTGTCAGAGCCTATATTATTCATCGAATTTAAATAATTAAAGTTGTTGAAACCATGAGTAATAAACAAATACGCTTTAATCAACTATAACACTTGAGCAAATGTGATCAAATTAACAAATCTCTATCATTTCTTTAACACCTTGTTTAAAGCAGTGACACTTGTATTTCTAACATTAACATTCTCATTAGATGCAATATTCTTTTGTCATGAAAAACACAAAATATAGTAACATATAAATATCAGAAACCTGCAGCTCTTTCTGGTCTTTTTTTTCTTCAAGAAGTGGTGCACGCTGGACAAATTCATGCAAGATACTAAACAAAGTAGATGAGAAAAAAAAATAATACAGCTCATTTCCTTTTTGCATCATGAGTCTTACTGATTAATGTGACAGCTATTAACCTTTATTAATTGTACCTACTAATTACATGTTTGAATATCAAACAAGTCACACTACATAGAGATACAATTATGCACGTGAATTTTCTTCTATCAGTGGTGACATACAGTTGAATATAAACAACTTTATGTATAGAAAGGGTTAAAAAATAACATACAGCAAATTACTTTATTATGAAAATCAAAACTTAAATTAGAAAATTAATCTCACAAAACTTTGAAAAACAAAAGATAACTTTACCAATCACTATATATATGCCAACTAAACTCTTATATCTACAAATACTCATCACTTGAACATTGTTCCTTACACTAGAAGGTGAAATTGAACAGGTGGTAGAGAAGTAAGTTGTAAACCATCACGCCACAAACCCAACAAAGACTGGAATGACTCCACCAACTGGCTACCAGGAGTATTCTGAACATATGTCAGGAAGAACTGAAGCATACTAACTTCAAGTGGAGCTCTTTTCTGTGGGAGAAAGTAAACAAATTAATCTGGCTAAATGTAAGAAAGCATACTTTGAACTCTTCTGTGAAAGGAAGTAAAGAATAGATTTGGTTCAAACAAAACAAACTACCTGAGAAACATGTTTCTGTAAAAGGCATGAAATAACTTCGTGCAAAGATTAACAGATTACTAACAGATATTTATACTATGATTTATGTTTAGCATATTCATAATCGTATTAAATTAATGGTTTTTCAAATTAACTACCACACCTATAACCAGCAGCAGACATTGAGTGGCAATGAAGTTAGAGACATTGTGGTTTCTAGAGCCCAAATTCTGGGATCTATTTGATTTTTCCTCAACAGCTATGTTTTTCATCTATATTTTTGTATTATGTTAAGACAGGTGGGATGCTCTTGGTAGCTAGAGTTGCAGATATTTTCCTTGAAAAAAGTATACCTTTTGTACTTTCCTGACAAATGATATAATTTTCAATTATCTTGTTTATGTTTTTGTTACCGGTGACATAATGGATTAATTTTGATAATTTTGTGAGGATATGGATGTTTTTGGAAATACTCTAATATTTTGATTTTGTCATGTTAAAATTCATATCAAATTTTTCTTTTTATATTTGTTCATCCTTGTTATATAGTGCTGATTTTTTGCAATCATACTTCTGATGTAGGTAATATATGTATATGTGTATTTATAAAAATAGTCATGTCAAATGGACAGAAATTACACATGAATGGAAAGGTTCAACTATGTCTAGGAAGCTTTGCTTACAGAATGAAGGTAGTTGCCATTGTCCTCAGTTCTTGTGTCAACATTCTGGGGATGGATGTACTGTCAACTTTATCAGTCAGTTTTGCTTGTGCAACTGGTGAAATGATGTTCCATGTTCCACAGTACAGTTATCTGATGTTGGTCAGGTTGATCTCAAGAACAGTGTAAAACATGAGTATAAATGGAAGAGGAAGTTACAACAGCCCTATATACAACATCGATGTTCTGTAGTTTACTAAAGATAAAGTCTTGCATGTTGGTACTGTGTAACACAGTTACAAAGCCCATGATTGAAATAGGCTATTTCCTGTCCAGAAAACAAGCAGCATTAGCTTGGTCAGTTATCTGTCTAAGGGAGGATAAAGTTATGATGCTGTTCTACAATTATGACTGATCAGTTATCCAGTTGCATATTGGGATAGTCACTGACACAGTAAGCAATGTAGATGTAACAGTAGTAATGCTCTGGATGCATCTGTCATGCCACATCTAAAAGCAAATACATGGTTACCAACACATCTGGCAATGCTAGTTGAGGATTGTGCAGTCAATTTAGGCTTAATGCAGTGGTAGTAACTCAGTGACTTGTAGATACAAATATGTTGATATATTTATGGGACTGGATGTCCAATTGGGTCGAGCAACACTCAAATGACATTACATAGATGCAGATGATGCCTGCTGATTTAGAAGATTACAATGCATGCTTCCATGGAGCACTAAGAATGTGGGCAGTGCTGAAGTACAGTGGATATTAAAGGATGTGGTCATATAGCTTTCAGAGAGTGCTTGGTCATCTCCAGTAGTGATTGTAAGAAAGGATGTTACATCCAGGTTCTGCATTGGTTTTGGAGTGGTGAATGTGGTAACTCACACTCATGCCTTTCCATTATAAGGAACAGATGAATGTCTGAATGTATTGGAAGCAACCTGTTGGTTCAATAAATAAGACTTGGCATTCAGATACTGGCAGTCGAGCTGGATGATGAAAGCAGACCTAAGACTGCTTTCAGCATGAGAGTTCGCTTGTATAAGTTTTGCCTCCCTTTTGCTGTTTACCATGTGTACCACTTTTGAGAAGATCATGGAGTTTACACTGAAAAAGATGCAATGGAAATGTACCTGGTCTGTGCTAATGATGTCTTACAGTTTGGTTGCACGTTCAAGTCTGTGACTTAGAACCTCAAAATGGTATTCCAGTGGATATAAAAGGTCACCTTAACAATAAAACCAGAAAAGTGTGCATTTGTGCCCAAGGAAATGGAACCCTCTTGACTTGTACAGTTCAAAATGCACATCTGAACTTTTTAGAGTTATGCTCAAAATTTAATTAAGCTACATTATTGCCATGGTATATGTATAAACTTAGTATCAAAACACAGTTATGAAATCAAGTTTTAATACTACATAAGTTTAAGTTCTTATTTATACAAAAATATTTTTAAAAATCTTCTATCTCTCATAGTATCAGAATCGTGACATTTGTCTCTTAGTTACCATCTCTCCAAGAAGTACAGAATTTAATATAAATTACTCATAATAATAATATAGTTATTACTCAGAAAAAGCATAATTTTTATAGCCTTTAATTTTATCTGTTTACAGAGCCATAATCTAGAAAATTAAACCCCTCTTTCCACAATCACCTGTCACATCCTCTCTTTCACAAATTACCAGTAGTTATCTCAGATGTTATTTACTAGTATAAAAGGTCCTTTCATGATTCACAAAGATCTCAATGTACCAGTTAAGCAACTCCATTATCTTAATTCTTTTATAGCTACCCCAATGTTCTAATTCTTTAACTGATTTGTCTGTTGCCATTTCCTGAACTTAATTCAATTCAACTCTTTTTAAAAGGAAATAGTTATAATTTAGCTTCTCAGATTGGTTTCTTTCTTCCTGTTTTTATTTAAATTCCTTTTATTTTCAAAATTCTCCAATATTCTCTGATTCATATTTTTCTTCCAGTTGTTTGTTGCCATTTCCCAAACGTAGTCCAATTCAACTTTTTTTCTAATTTTCAGATTTGTATTTGTCTTCCCATATTAGTGTTGAAAAAAAAAAGAGTATTTGGAAGAAAACCTCCACAAACTGTTCATTCAATAAGTGAGAATAAGAAAAAAAATATGATACTTTTCTAGACCTTCAGGAAGCAGAATTTATAGGGCTATAGAGCAAAAAACTGGCCAAAATTTGTTTTAGTCAAATCTAAAAAATAATATCCAAGTGCACACCCTCAGAATCCCCTTAGTATGAGTACAAAGTTTTAGGTCTCAAGATTCTTTACTCTTGGAGCTATGGTGGTAACGCATACAGGCTCTATTTGCACCATTATAAGTTGTATTTTACTTGGGGAACATGTAGCTTATGTTACGCTATCAAATTACATTACCCAATGAGCAGATGCATGCCTCATGAAATATTTTTATTATATTATTATTAATTTTACCTAATCTAACCTTAAATAACCTCAAGAATTCCCTATTTTTTACATTTTAATTACTTTTATAATAATAAATAAAGAATAAACATGAAAAATAAGAAATAAAGTACTTACCCAGGTCTTTCTTTTGCTGTTGACAACACTTAACCCTACTTTTTTTTTATACTAATGGTAGTAATGCACTAAATAATCTATATCTAATTAAATAATGCACCAAAAATGTAGAATAATAACATGCAAAAAGAAGGTAATTTCCCCTAACTATCACAATTTTTCTAGCTTTCTAATTATGCAACAAGAGCCGTTACAAATTCATTATCTTTCCCATGGGAATGAATCTTTCACTCCGAGTGAAATTGATAATATTCTGTCCAGAACATAATGTTATAAAATACGTCACTTGATATATGAAAACCTTGGCTTTCTACTGGTTCTAGATAATATAGAATTAAATCTAAGATAAAACTATTAACAAATCCTGAAAGAGAGGACATGACAGGTGAGTGTGGCAAGAGGAGTGTGATTTTTTATTTGATGGCTCAGTAACCAAAGAAATTGAAATCTGTATATATTATGGTTTGTCTGAGCAACGAAGATTTTATGGTAAGTAATTTATGTTTAATTTTATATTTATTGGAGTGGTGGTGAATAAAATAGAAAAGATGAGACGCCTACATAAAATGTGTCACCTTTCTCACACTAGGGGAAATTCAGTATTTATTTAAATAGTGCCTTATAAAATTAAGAACTTAAACCTTATATACCATTCAAATATGGATTATTAGCTAAGATTTTGTGTTATACTAATTGGTATAAGATAAACAAAAAGATAAACCACTAAATCCTTGTGACATGCGCAGTAAATGATACCCGGGCAGAAAGGGTTAAAAGATGCGCATGTTCACACTCATGTGGATAAGTAATAATACCCAGGTGCACACCTTCAGGGTCCACTTAGTATGGGTGCAAATTTCAAGTATCAAGGTTTTTTCCTCTTGAAGCTATGACAGTCACACACACACATGCCTTTATATAGTAAAGCCAATGTTTTAACTTAACAAATCACATACTATATTACATTGTTTACATAGAATTGCCTACTTAGCTTCCAGTTCAGACTTAGCTGAATTTGTAACACCTCTTATTACATAACTAGAAAAATTATGACAGTTATAGGATGTTATCTGCTTTTTATGTGCCCCTCAAGGAGGATTCCTGTAAATGGTGATGGGACCTCCAGGAAAGGTTCTGTATTTTTAGTTTACTTCTTCTGGGATCTAAACATCCACCCACACGTTTGCTGTACATGGTAACCTGTGAGAGGGAGGAGAGGATCCTGGTGGGTGAGGAGTCAGTTTATGTCAGTAACACTTTTATCACATCACTTTGGCCTTGAATCCCTGTAGAAGGGTGGCTCACCCAGGGTTAATCAGCTGGTCTATTTTGGCAAGGGTCAACCAAGTACCAATGTTGGACATTCTCAATGTGTGTTGTGTACATTGTTTCTGATACTGGTGTGCTCACGAAACCCTGGCATCTCTACAAAGCTCGACTTTGGCATTGTAATGCATCCCCGTGTAGGAGACCATGGTGGGTAGGGTCAGTGGGCACTGAAGTTTTTCCTTTTTATGGATTCTCAACCCAGTGACCTGCAAAAAAATAAAATAAAAATCTTGTTGATCAGAAAATGATCATGATTGGAAGACTCTGATTTCCAATCTCCACCTCCTATTGTTTCTGTACCTTGTTTTCTCATCCTTCATTCTTTGACTGAGAAATCATTAGGACAAATGTCTCCCTTTTTCATTCAGAAGGGCTTAGAGAGACTTGTTGGCTCTCCAAAGTCAGTAAAGAAGCTACATTCTGGGGACATCTTGGTGTAAACATCTACACCAAAACACAGCAAACTCCTCCTGAATTCAAAGGCCATTGGAAACATACCCAATGAGGTTACTCCCCATGCTACTTTGAATTCCTCATGAGGAGTTATTGTTGAAAGAGATTTGAAGAACATCCCCGAGCTGAAGATTCTTGCTGGTTTCTCCAGCCAAGGAGTTTCTACAGTGCGACATATCTCTACTCGTAAAGAAAGAATTATACTGCCTACAAATGTTTTGATTTTGACATTTACATCACCACATCCACCTGCCTCTGTCAAGGCAGGTTATCTTAACTGTAAGGTGTACCCATATATTCCTAACTCTTTCAGATGTTTGGAGTGTCAGCAGTTTGGTGATTCAAAGGCATCTTGTTGTAGTTCTTTGAGATGTGCTCATTCTGGTGGCAAAGACCATGACTCCTGCAAATGTCAAATGGATCCTCAGTACATCAACTGTGATTGTTCCCATCCCTATTTTTTTCATTCTTGTCCTAAGTGGGTGGAGGAAAAAGAGGTAATATACTTAAAAACTGTCAATAACATTTCTTATTCAGAGGCTTGGAAGTTGTTTTCCCCTGCTCCATATTGGACATATGCTGCTGCACTACATTCCACTGTTAAACTAGGAGTGCAGACAAATCTTTCTGTGCCTCCATCAGAGTCTTTCTCATACCGCATGAAGAGAGTCTTTTGCCCTCCATAGTTATACACACAGACGAGTCAACATCCACTCCTGTCTCTGTCCCCACTGTTGCATCCAGTGAAAGCTCATGTCCATCTCCTTTGGCCCTGAGGTGCAGGATCATTATTCTTTCATGCCCTCAGTCTCTGACAGAGATCTGTCCAACTGACCCAGAGGAGGTTCCATGGAGGTAAAAAGACCTATTTCTACTAACGAAATATGTCATGGTCTCAGGCAGAAAAGTTTTCTGCCCAGATCTCCTCCATCTAAATACAAATGGCCACTTTGATACAGTGTTAAAATCAATGCTATTACTTGACAACTTCTTCTTACTGTTGCAAATGGCCTCTATGTTGACAACTTCCATATTTCTTGTCGGTCGTCGAATATGAGGTTTATTAAGCAGCAGCTTCAGACTGCCCTCATTTGCTTGTTGAAGTGGATTATAACAAACAGTCTCACCTTTTCTTTCTCCAAAATCATTAGCATTAATTTTTCCAACAAAGGGGCTTACACCTCAATCCTGAACTCCATCTCAGTGGTGTTGTTCTTCCCATGGTTCCTGAAGTAAAGTTCTTGGGGTTTATCTTTGACCATAAACTTACTTTCATTTCCCACATCAAGCAGCTTCGTGTCAAGTGTACAAAGTCACTAAACATCCTCTGTGTCCTCTCTTCCACCTCTTGGGAAGCAGATCAATGTTCTATGTTGAAGATCTATTATGTCCTCATATATTACAAGCTGGACTATGGGTCTCTGGTTTATTGTTCTGCCTGGTCCTCTGCCTTGAAGATGCTGGAAGCTATCCACCACCTGAGGCTTCAGCTTCGTATGGGGGCCTTTTGCACTTTGCTAGTCCAGAGTCTGTATACCTAGTCTCATGAACTTCCTCTTCACCTCCGCTATTTGCAACTTTCTTTGCAATATGCAACCAAGTTTCAATCTTTACCACAGCATTCCACCTTATGTTGTGTCTTCCTTCCTCGGTGGCTGTGCTCTTTCAGAATAGACAGTCTGCCATTCCTCCTTTTGGCCTTTGTATCCAGGCGCAGCTGGCTGAATTGGGTCTCTCACTGGATGACGTTGCTGAGTTCAATGACCAGCCCATCCCACCATGGCTCTTTACCATCCCAACCTGTGACATTTCTTTCAGCCATCTGAGGAAGGCAGATACTTCTGATTGGAAGTACCATTTTCTCTTTGTCGAACATCTTTCGAACCATTGTTCTGTTCCCATTTTTGTCACATTGGTCACAGTTTTTTAACTCATGCCATCATTATGACTGTAAGCGGCAGTACCATTTTAGACATGTACTTTCTATGGATTTACCCAGGATGTTAGATGGTGTCATTGATGATGATGAAACTGATCAACTTGTGTTTTTAACTTTTTATGAGCCATCGGCTTTTTTATTCTATTTAGTTAACCTTTTTTTTGAGGTTTTTATAGCTTTTACATAGAAATTAATTCTTTTCACATATTAGTTTTCACTTCTATACTCCAAACAAGCAACAAACAACCTTTTTATGTGTTATTATTATTATGTGTTTTGAACTGCATTATTTAATTCCAAAAAAGTGTTTAGTGAAGTATAATTGGTGTAGAAAGTATGGCTAACTTTTATTGACAGTCAATAGCAAAGAAAAAAAAAAAAAAAAAAACCCTATTACCTTAGATTAGGTATATACTGCAAAATAATAATAATTTTTTTGTGAGGTATGCACTCAAGTAGCCCATATGTTATGTAATTCGATATGGTAACATGAGCTACATATTTGTTGGGTGATTTACAACTTGTGTGGTGGGATTATTAGTTAGACATGGTTCATAGGGTAATAAAACAATACAAATTAAATAGAAAAAGATGTATACTGTTATGTGCTTTAAGCTATTTAGGATAAAGCAATGTAGTTTCTTGTTATAATTTGCAGTCATTTTAGAAAGAAAAAAAGAGTAACTTCGATTTATTTGGTATTTTTTATGGTAGTTGTGAGGTCAGTCAAGTAGACTGAATGCATATAGAATCAGGGTAGAAAAAATAACAGATAAATATAAAGTTTTACTGAAAATAAGCACTTGAAATTTATTTAGGTTTTAAAGATTATGCAAATGAAATTTGACAATTTTCAGATGAAGAAAAGTAATTTTAATCTTAACATGAAAATCACTTTGCACTTGCAGCAGTCAACACTTTAACCATCCCACAATTTACTAAAAGTATCTTCATAAATTTGGCAAGCTTTTAGTGAACATTAAAAGTTTGTTGTACACAGAAAATCAGATTTTTTAATAAAGTGTTTTTTCTAAAGATTTGTCTGTGGATTTTCAAAGCCTTTACCAAGTCAATCTGAGTGAAAGGTAATTTTCGTTTTGAGAAAAAAAAAATTACTTATTGTCATATTATAGTTTTCACATATCATTTGCATAATTTATAAAACCTCCTATATGAAATATAAGTTTTTTTGGTAAAACTTCATATTTTATCTGATATTTTCTCTACCATAGCACTAACTGTAGTAAAATCATCAGAGTGAAACAAAAAGCTTAAAAAGATAAAATAAAATGAATTATACCATTTTTTTTTTCAAATTGTTAATATAGGTAAAATGAAATCTCATGAAAGTGATCCACTGAAAGAAAAACAAAAAAAGTATAATTTCATGATTACAAAGTAGTTTCAAGGTGGGTTGAACTAATCATCTTCATACTTAAACAGTCAGAAATTATGAAACTATTATACATTTTGTATGTCACATACTCTGTAATTCTACTGCTCCTCTTGAACAGTATTTTTATGTACTAACACTTTACAAAAATAGCAATAGAAGTTTAAACTACTCATCAATTTCTCAAGAGGGATATGATGAACTAAAGTTCAGAAACTATCTTGGAATTTTGATTAAAAAATGTAGCTGACCTTCTCAGGGAACACTCTAAGTGAACTCTCAACACTGTTGAGAAAGTGTTAATTACAGACGATACTTACATTCTTGTCATGAGATGTTGGAGGTGGTTGTTTAATTACTTGTCGAACAGTTTGAACTACAGACTCCATAGGAACCACTTTTATAGCTGCTACTAACTCCACTAGCAAAAGCTGACTTTGGGTCCAGGGTGGAATCACCTTTCAAAATAATAGAATGTAACCAAATTAATGTAAACATGGAGGAAAAAAAATCAAAATAAGAATGGAAAATATCAAGAATGTTGAGGGTAGATAATTGATGATTCAATTTCATTTAAACACTTAACATTTTTGGTCCTCAAACTCTTTTGTATCATACATAACATTATTGTCAAAATTTAATTTAACTTGAGCATGTTTGGTGGGATAGGAATTCAAACCCATGACCCTGAGATGGTGAGTCAAGCACCCTAACCATCTGGCCATGCCAGGCCTAACTTGTTTAAAGACCTAATGACTAGTCTTTCAATTATAATGTGGTACTGTAACTAACCAATACTAAATCTTACATACTTGTAGGTAGTTTAAAAATTAATATCAAAACAACATAAGTTTCTGGTATGTCAAAAGTGTTTGGCAGAAAAAACAAAAACATTTTCCACTTCAAGTGTACAGTTAAGATATCTGGAAAGTACTCATTTAAAGATAACGTGGAACCAGACTCAACTCCATTTCCATACATGAACATGATGTATATGGCAATGGTAGAAGTATGAACAAGCACTTGGTGGATGTATCAACCTCTATAAATTGCAGAATGATACTATTAATATACATTAGAAGAACTACATACTAAAATCCTTTGTACTGCCATATATATATATATATATA